ATCTAAAACTGATGAAAGATTTCTATTTCTTTCATGTTATTGTTGGATTTTAGCTCCTTATTAGAGGTAAAATAAAAATAAATTGGATTCATCAATTGCTTACTTAACCAAAACACAATAAGGTACAACTTTACACCAACTCTGAGATTTAAAAGATGGGTTCAAATCATAGCCATATAAATAGTCGACGGTACATATCACTACTGCGATTCGTATCTCACAACCTTTTTTTTGTTTGATAAACAAACCAAATTTTAGTATCACCACCACCTATATAGTAGTATGTTTTAGAAGGTTTAATTACTCAAGTTTTTTTTGTAAGTTTCCATATTATTAAATTTTTAGTAAAATGATTACTCGATTAAATGTTACTTTTATTAAAATTTTCTGTAAATTATTGTGATTTTCCAACATTTGACATAAACGACGATATATACTCCGATCCATTCCTTATTTTTATGTGCCTCATGACAACATATAAAATTGTGTTTTATACCATTATGAGATCAACCATATCAGATTTAACGATTTATATATTTGCATGGCCATGTTCTTAAACACACTGAGAAGTCATGTAGACGAGACTCGCATTAGTATTCCCTTCTTTATTTATTTCTCGTTCCACTTTCATTTATCACTACTATTCTATATGATGTTTCTTATAAATTATACTTTATTTCTTCTAATTGAGAAAGAAATGTAGAAAGATACACTGAGATAAATTCTACATTCTAAAAATAATTTATTGGGATACGAATATGTTAATATATCATATATTATTATCATATATTATTCTACATGTAGCAAGAAAACATAGTATACTATACTATATATAACAATTCGTTAAACTAATTTAGCTATGTAAATACATATTATGCCAGTTAATTCCACATCCTATTGTAATATCATTGTAAGTAAGAAAACTATAGAAAGCATCATATTTTGAATAATTTCATGACACACAGAGTCTAAAGATTGAGACGAATTACTTTCCTTTCATATTATGCAACACTTTCACTATTTTAATATGCACTGATCTGTATAGATTATCTTTCATAAAAGTATAAACTTATTCACTATAAATATCACGAAATGAACCTTTATCTACCAACAAACAACTACATTAGCTATTCAATACACATAATTCGTATACATTTACATACAAACAAACAAAATTAAAGCACGAAATGATGAACAGTTTCAAAGGAACAAATAGGTTTATGCTCGTGGCAATGTTCATAGCATTTGTGTTCATAAGCAATATGAACATGACAATAGAAAATGCAATTGGATATCCAGCAATAGGACGGGATGTTCCTTGTGATCCTAAGGAACTTAAAAGGCCGTGTCCACCCAAACAACCGGTTAATCCATACAAACCGGGATGTGAAAAATCAGAGAGATGTCGCGGCGATCCACCTCTACTTGTTTCTAGAAAGTTGTTAAATAATGTCATGACGATATAATAATGTAACCAAGTTCAATGAATAAAACTATGGTTTGTTTACGCCAAAATATTCTCTATATCTATACCCTTAATATTTTTCATAGTGTATTATACTTTATTTACAATATATTGGTGAAGTGTTTATATGTATCACATATTGTTGGTGGATTCTAGCTCTTTAGTGGTAAAATAAAAACCAAGATGTTCTTAATTAGGTGAATCTTTATAGGTTAAGTACTCACTTAAGAATCATATTTTTGGCTAGCTAATCTATATAAGTGAATCGATCATATTCTTAATTAAGGGAATCCTGATAATATACGCTCCAACTCATATGAGTTTATATACATGAGTTTATTCTAAAAAAAAAAACTCCTACATAGTTTATCGCTGCAAAGATTTGTCTAGCTAATTTATATAAGTGAATTGATCATATTCTTAAATGTTCAAAGATTTAATATTAATTCGCATCAAAAATGTTAAAGCCATACTTTTATAGAAACGGATAGAGTAATCTAGCTCTGCCAAACTTAACTAAATTCACAAATAGTTTTGTGGTAATTTCTTCAATACCTATGTGTCACTTTTAAGTAGTTGTGATTATGGCAAAGATGAATTTTAATTTCAATTAGAACATGATTATAGATAGTAAATATATTGGAGGTAATATATGAATTTTATAATATTAATTGTATTGGGATTGATGAAGAGAGAGATAAAGATGTATATTTACTTTAAATATAGATCATATATTTAAAACTTTAGTGGGTAGTAAATATGAATGTTGATTTAATTAAATTGATTTAATTGTTATTTACCCACTATATTACATATTGATAATCATGCTCTTAGTATTATGTTGGTGATTGGTTCGGCTGTAACTATAGATTAATTATTGTAAAACTTTTGCTGTAAGTGTTTTGGCTGTAGATGTATATTTTTTTTTGCTGCAGGTTTTTTTGTTGTAGATATATAAGTTGTAGCTGTAACTATTTTAAAATAAAAACACGATTGGTAAGTATAAGATATGTGTTATAGTTTTACCTTTAAAGAAATTAGTTTATACAAATTAAAATGGTTATAACATAAATTTCTATGCTACTTTCAACATAATAAATAATGAATTTTTTTATCTTTGTTGTTTCTAATTTTTTCGTGTATTATTAAAAAATCATGTATTATAAAATTCCCGAATGTTCTAATATTGTGTTGACAAAAATCTAGTATATATAAAGTTAAGAGTTATTCCAATTAGGTAGTATTGTATTTTTGATCAACACTTATATCTCTTACTTTTTCTGGTGATAATTCAATTTAAGGTTGTTTTACCCTAATATTTAATTGTTTTTATAGTCACTAACTTTTAAAACCCAACAAATAGGCCGGTGTGATTTTCGTAAGTTACAGAAGAAAAAAAAAAAGATTTTTTATTTGGACTGTAAGTTTAAAAAATAAACATACAACATGATTGACAAACAACGTTTTAGGATATTACTTTAAGAAAAAAAAACTAAAACATAATTGGTAGAGAATTGATGTTTTAAATAGAAAAATGGCTTTGTAAAAGATACTTACAGCCCAACCAATCATCCACTATATTTTTTTTTTTGTCACTTTATATAGGGATTTTTTTGTCAGAAAAAAAGTTGGAAAAATCTGTGTGGTTGTAAGAAAACGCTTAGGAGGACGTTGACGGCGTTAAGGCAATCGGAGGCACAATCCGGTCGAAAGCACACGTGTGAGCCTGTAATGTTATTGGACAGTGAAACACAGAACATAGTTTTTCCACTTGGGCCCAGCCCACACGAAGGTACATCTCTATCTTTTATTTAGTGTTGGCGTTTTTTGGCCCACGTGGACCCATTAATCTCCTCGTCCTCACGTTCACAAAATTAGCATAATTTAAAAAAAAACAATTCAACATTACCACAAATCAATAATAAAATATATAGTAAGAAAGCTACACGAAGGTTTTAGATAAGCTTTCTCAATGGGTTTTTGTGGTATTTTTATATATTTTTAAAAAAGTTACTGTATTTTTTCAAACATATATATAATTTCCTTGGG